AAAGTAAAATAGGAGGTGCACAATGGCAATATGTAATAAAGATTCTGTGAAAGTTTCATTTAATTTCACTCAGTAGTATAAGAGGAGTTGCGGATAAGAGAAAAAGCGTAACAGACGGACGGACGGACGGACGTACAGACGGACGGACAGACGGACGGACGGACGGAAATCCCGATCACTATATACCCTCCCGCTTTTCAAGCGGGGGGTATAAAAATACACAGTAGCACACTATTCTGTATTTGTTGATTGGAGATATTTAATAATGTTAACTGTGTTGTTATCTTGTCCCACATAAAGATTGTTCTCATCATCCATACATACACAACTGGGAAAAGATACTTGTTTTGGCGTGATTAGTAGAGATAAGAATTGACCATCCTTATCAAGGAGGTGAATATTTTGCAGATCACACACCAGTATGTGACCGAGGACATCAGTACAGATTCCATGGGGACGAAAGTTTGACTCCTGACCTGTGTAGGAGAATCTGTGTTTTCCTACTTTATTCACCACCACTACTGCCATTTTATCATAGTCTGATGTACAGATATTGCCATTGATGTTTTCTGTGATGTAGTGTGGATATCTATACAGTCTTTGTCCATTGTTATCCCTCTGTATATTCTGTAGTTCTTTTCCTTTCTTGTTGTACCTGGAGACTTGAGCCTCTCCACCTGTCACCATCCCCACCAGTAAGTCCCCATTTGTGTGGGAGGAGTGTATGCAGAATGGTATCCAGTGTCTTGTTTTAATGAATTCGGTAATATTGTTATCCAGTGTTATCCTATTAATGACTTTGTTGTCCATGTCTGTAAAGATCAGATCTCCGTCCAGTGTCACGGTATGGTATCCATTTACACCACTAGTTTTTATTTTCTGTAGCTGATTCCCCTGTAGATCTGTTTGAACAAGGTTACCAGCACATTCACTGACCCAGAGTCTGTCTGACTGATCTAGTGACATATGGAATATGTCGTCAACATCTGGAACAGTGAACTCCCTGACCTCAGTGACAGAGGACGATAAAGACACTGTTTTTTTTCACATTAGATATTAGTTTACTGTCTTTCATTACTTGATGGCTTGTTGGTTTCAGATATAATGTACAACTTTTTCTTCCAGGGTTGTTCTTTTCTCATCTCTTCTTTTATATTTGGAAAAGTTATCTCTCCCATTAATTTGGCAATATCTTCTTTTCTGTACTTTCCAGCAATAAATACAGGTATCACGGGTTTTGTTACTTCTGGTACGGGTTGGATTTGTATGTCGTCCTCTGCAGTTAAATGTTTGAAGACTTTAAAGATGACAAATAAACATGGAACTTTTTATCCAGGTCATTGAGATAGGTAATATGCTTCTCAATGGTTATATCTTGACTATTTAATTTTTCCGGTAATGGCTGTTCTTTTTTGTTTACTTCTTCGATATTTTCAGAAGTCATTTTGTCCACCATGCTTTTCAGGGACTCGGCTTCATCCTTCATGGAGGTTCTTATGTTGTCCATTATCTTCTTGATTTCTTCGGCATCTCCATTATTTTCTCTCTGTAAATCTTTGGATATTGGCAGGAAATAGTCATGAATTTTTGCAATTTCTCTTTGACAATGGGAAAACTTTATGTGTTTGGGTGGCAGTGCATTTGGAACAAATAGGGCTTTTACAGTCATCACAAAGAAGTTCTAAATCCTTGGAGGGGTGGATCTTACATTTTTCTTTGGGCACTTGTCGCTTTCGTTGTTGGACTACTTCATGGCTTTTTGTCTCTGGACTTCTTTGATGTGTGTCCCTGCATTGTTTACATAATCGTGTGTAACAAAGGTTGCAGTAAAATTCACAGTTTCTCTCACAGTATTCAATACCACACTCTACGAAGTGTTGAGATGTACTTGGTAATTGTGCTTTTGACAATGCCATCTGCAAAGAGTCTTTAGATACTATCTCTGGCAAATTGAATTTTAGATTTCGAGGAGGTTTTTTTTTTTTCAAAAAATATGCTGTAAATTTATTATAAGTATTGAAATGAGTCAATTCAGTTAAATCTACAAGTAAAGACTCAGTTCATAAAAAAAATTCTAGACTAACATCTTTATGAAAGTATAAAATGATCAAAACAGTTCAATCATTTAACTTACTGTATATCTCCAATTACGTGACTTTATTGGTCAGCCATTTTGAATGAATTTACACCTTTGAAAAGTGACGCTGTCGACATAATTCCTAGCTGGTAAATATAGATTTAAATGTCTTTGTAAAATGAAAGAGATCTCAGAAATGATAACATTTACAGTTAAACCTAATGACATGCTGCTTCATAAACACAAAAACAAGGCTATTTTCTATACATAATTAAGGAATACATTGTAATTTATCAAAGCATCTGATTGTGTCTACCTATACATGTATGCCTGAATTCAAGTTGGTGGCAAAGTTAGTCTTTGAGGCATCGGTTAGTGTGACTTCCAACCTAGTAACTTCAGCGAAGTCGCCAGGACAATTTTTGTCAGCCATGCCTCTCTGCAATTTATACTGATTTGAAAAACTAATGTTTATCACCCAGAAAGTAAAAGAAAGTAAAATTCAATATATTAAATAAACATTTACTGTGATTGTTTGTTTGTTTGTTTTTAACGCCCTTCTTGAATTTTTTTTTTAGTGCGCAGTATTAATTTTAGTTTTTTGTAAACCTATCTGCTTCATATACACAAGAATATCACGGAAATTTCATTTTATGCATGCTTTAAAAGTGACATATTCCACTGTATACTAATGAACAAGTATATACTGACAAAACGTCAGAGATACTCAAGCTGTAGAAAGTCAGCTAGGAAGTGTCATTAATTAATATCCTAAAATGGTATAAGATGAGGACTATTGAGCTCAATCTTCTGTTGAATAAAATACATGTACATGAAACAAAATTCATATAGTGAATTTGATTAGAATAAATATAATTGATCGTACTACTTTTTAAGATGAATTTACGTTACGTCGGAACCGGGGGGGGGGGGGCGGGGGGTTGCAAAGATAAACATAACATAGGCATTGAAAATTGGGGTTTACGTGTTTGTTGGTTTAGCCCCACTTTTTAATTAGCCCCTCCCCACCCACTTTCAGTTTGCTTCCGACGCCTATGACAACTTTTAATAAACATCAATCCAAATAGCTTGTTACAAGCTTGTAGAAAAAAATTTTCAAAGGGGGGCTGCGGGCTGCAAATAATCCACGTGACTACGGATCCATCCACTGTGCGACATGTCCAAAACATATTCCGTACGAATCCAAAAAAAGTAATATAGGAGGTTCAATTACCAAACTGACGATAATACTATTTTTTAGAAAAACAAACGTACGTATGAGGGAGAATGTATCATCAATTTATTTTGTGCTATTATTTATTGTCAATCAAAGTACACATGAGTTACAATATCAGTTGGGGGGAGGGGGCACAGCAATCCAATTTCTGGCCATGCATTGTAGAATATTTGTTAATGATGGGGGTAACCTGCGTAACCTTTCAGAGTCACCAGTGGACTCGTCCAAGGATACGGCGACTGAAAGTTACCTGGGATTCCTACGCAAAGGAAAGCGTGAAATTTCTGTATAAAAACTGTTGCGGATGCGAGGCTTCACTCATTGTTCATTCGCCATAGAAAAGAATCCGACATTAAACACTTAATATCTATGAATATACAGACGTTTTCAAGATAAGCTTATTTTTTGTTTCTAGAAATATTTTTATGTACCAAAATAATATATTTTCGTGTTTTAAAACCGAGTACAATTGTAAATCGATGACCTAGCATCGTTTTAGATAACTCAAGCCCCTCTAGGGCTTGAGTAAAAAGAAACACGTACAAATATGAGGCGTGTGACTTCACTGATACCCTATATAGTACTGAGTATGAGGCCCATGACTTCACTGACATCCTATATATCACTGAGTATGATTCCCGTGACTTCACCGACACTCTATAGATAGTTTTCGAGGGACCTAAATTTAGCAAAAGTTACCTCCCGTTGGCCGCCGTACTGGAGGTCTAAATGCTCATATTCCTTCATTGTTTTTGAATTAGGAATCATTATTTACTGAAGTATATAAATTTTTGGAAGCCTCCTTTATTAAAAAAATTATTTAATAAAGATTTTCCACCAAATATTTCTGCTATATTTTCCTTAACTTAATTGGTAAGACAAATGACACTCTATATAGTACTGAGTATGAGGCCCATGACTTCACTGACACTCTATATAGAACTCACATGTTCTACCCCCAATAGCAATTATATATATGACAAGGATATATATTATATATATGACAAGGGGCATTTAAACCATGCCTGGAGCAACATGTAGCGGATTTAACAATACTGTGCTTTGTGTGATGTGCCTACAATATTGTTTTGTTCTTCAGAATACCAGATGAGCTTCTAAGTGATGATGAAAGAATGCGTATGCTGTATGGATCCGTGGCGAAGGAGGGGGGGGGGGGCAAGGGGAAATGCTTCACTAGTATTTCTTCCCTCATTTCTTTTAAGCAAAGATTATAATTAAACTGATGAATATTAAGATTGCACATAAAATAAGCCCAATCAATTGAATGTTTATGCTGCAAACACAGGAAGTATAGATGACAATTCCTCAGCAAAATGGTATAGATGTATATGGAAACTTTGAAAACTTTTGTCATCAAATGTATTCAGCTCAGTTTATGACCCTAGTTGTTGAATCAAATAGTTTTCTACTTTCTTTCAAAACTGATTAAACAGAGTAAATTTATTTTTCTGGACGTATAAAGGTATTCATAGCTATATGTTTATTAAATAATATATTTTGTTCACGTTCTACGTTGATACAGCAATAATAAAGCATACTTTTTTCATTTGATGCTTTAAAATAGACTTTCATTTTCATAGTTTTGCTTTGCAGTCATTTTTATTCTTTTTATAATTTATTGAATAATTATATCCTCAATTACAGGGAGAATAAATGAAAGATACACAAACTTCTAGTGAAAAATACAGTAGCACACTATTCTGTATTTGTTGATTGGAGATATTTAATAATGTTAACTGTGTTGTTATCTTGTCCCACATAAAGATTGTTCTCATCATCCATACATACACTACTGGGAAAAGATGCTTGTTTTGGCGTGATTAGTAGAGATAAGAATTGACCATCCTTATCAAGGAGGTGAATATTTTGCAGATCACACACCAGTATGTGACCGAGGACATCAGTACAGATTCCATGGGGACGAAAGTTTGACTCCTGACCTGTGTAGGAGAATCTGTGTTTTCCTACTTTATTCACCACCACTACAGCCATTTTATCATAGTCTGATGTACAGATATTGCCATCGATGTTTTCTGTGATGTAGTTTGGATATCTATACAGTCTTTGTCCTTTGTTATCCCACTGTATGTTCTGTAGTTCTTTTCCTTTCTTGTTGTACCTAGAGACTTGAGCCTCTCCACCTGTCACCATCCCCACCAGTAAGTCCCCATTTGTGTGGGAGGAATGTATGCAGAATGGTATCCAGTGTCTTGTTTTAATGAATTCGGTAATATTGTTATCCAGTGTTATCCTATTAATGACTTTGTTGTCCATGTCTGTAAAGATCAGATCTCCGTCCAGTGTCACGGTATGGTAACCATTTACACCACTAGTTTTTATTTTCTGTAGCTGATTCCCCTGTAGATCTGTTTGGACAAGGTTACCATTATTATCACTGACCCAGAGTCTGCCTGACTGATCTAGTGACATATGGAATATGTCGTCAACATCTGGAACAGTGAACTCCCTGACCTCAGTGACAGAGGACGATAAAGACACTGTTTTTTTCACATTAGATGTTAGTTTACTGTCTTTCATTACTTGATAGTTTGTTGGTTTCAGACTTCAGAGATAATGTACAACGTTTTTCTTTCAGGGGTTTTCTTTTCTCATCTCTTCTTTGTTTGGAAAAGTTATCTTTCCTAGCTAGTAATTTGGCAATATCTTTTTTGCTGTACTTTCCATTACAAAGAATTTCTATATCCTTGGTGGGGTGGATCTTACATTTTTCTGTGGGCACTTGTCGTTTTCGTTGTTGGTATAGGACTACTTCATGGCTTTTTGTCTGTGGACTTCTTTGATGTGTGTCCCTGCATTGTTTACATAATCTTGTGTCACAAAGGTTGCAGTAAAATTCACAGTTTCTCTCACAGTCTTCAATACTACACTCTTCGAAGTGTTGAGATGTACCTGGTAATTGTGCTTTTGACAGAGCCATCTGCAAAGAGTCTTTAAATAAGTTTACTGTCTTTCATTACTTGATAGCTTGTTGGTTTCAGATATAATGTACAATTTTTTTCTTTCAGGGGTTGTTCTTTTCTCATCTCTTCTTTTATGTTTGGAAAAGTTATCTTTCCTAGTAATTTGGCAATATCTTTTTTGCTGTACTTTCCAGCAATAAATACAGGTATCACAGGTTTTGTTGCTTCTGGTACGCGTTGTATTTGTATGTCCTCTGCAGTTAAAAGTTTTGAAGGTTTTAAAGATGACAAATAAACATGGAACTTTTTATCCAGATCATTGAGATAGGTAATATACTTCTCAATGGTTATATCTTGACTATTTAATTTTTCCAGTAATGACTGCTTTATTTTGTTTACTTCTTCAATATTTTCAGAAGTCACAGAGTCCATCAGACATTTAAGGGACTCTGCTTCAGCCTTCAAGGAGGTTCTTATGTTTTCCATTATCTTCTTGATTTCTTCGGCATCTCCATTATTTTCTCTCTGTAAATCTTTGGATATTGGCAGGAAATAGTCATGAATTTTTGCAATTTCTCTTTGACAATGGAAAAACTTCTCTGTATAGATTGATTCCAGGTCAGTGAATGTGTGACCTTTATGTGCTTGGGTGGCAGTGCATTTGGAACTAATAGGGCTTTTACAGTCATCACAAAGAAGTTCTAAATCCTTGGCGGGGTGGATCTTACATTTTTCTGTGGGCACTTGTCGCTTTCGTTGTTGGTATAGGACTACTTCATGGCTTTTTGTCTCTGGACTTCTTTGATGTGTGCCCCTGCATTGTTTACATAATCGTGTGTCACAAAGGTTGAAGTAAAATTCACAGTTTCTCTCACAGTATTCAATACCACACTCTACGAAGTGTTGAGATGTACCTGGTAATTGTGCTTTTGACAGAGCCATCTGCAAAGAGTCTTTAAATACTATCTCTGGCAAATTGAATTTTAGATTTCGAAGAGGATTTTTTTCTCAAAAATATGCTGTAAATTTATTATAAGTATTGAAATGAGTCAATTTAGTTAAATCTACAACAAGTAAAGACTCAGTTTATAAAAAAATTCTAGACTAACATCTTTATGAAAGTATAAATTGATCAAAACAGTACAATAATTTAACTTACTGTATATCTCCAATTACGTGACTTTATTGATCAGCCATTTTGAATGAATTTACACCTTTGAGTTTAAAGTGACGCTGTCGACATAATTCCTAGTTGGTAAATATAGAATTATATGTCTTTGTAAAATGAAAGAGATCTCAGAAATGATAACATTTACAGTTAAACCTAATGACATGCTGCTTCATAAACACAAAAACAAGGTTATTTTCAATACATAATTAAGGAATACATTGTAATTTATCAAAGCATCTGATTGTGTCTACCTATATGTCTGAATTCAAGTTGGTAGCAAAGTTAGTCTTTGAGACATTGTTTGGTGTGACTTCTAACCTAGTAACCTCAGCGAAGTCGCCAGGACACTTTTCGTCAGCCACGTCTTTCTGCAATTTATGCTGATTTGAAAAACTAATTTACATCTCCCAGAAAGTAAAAGAAAGTAAAATTCAATATATTAAATAAACATTTACTGTGATTGTTTGTTTGTTTGTTTGTTTTTAACGTCCCTCTTGAAAATTTTTTACTCATATGGAGACGCCCCCACTTGCCAGTGGAGGGCTACAAAACCTGCTGTATACTTTGCACTTGAGGCCATTGAGCAGTAAAGATCTTTTTTTAGTGCCGGAGTAAAGACGAATAATGACCCCCATCGAATAGTGTCCGGGGGTCGACAGCGAAAAATGACCCCCGGTCAAAATTCAACGGCGAAAAATGACCCCCGGTCATTATTCGACGTAGAAAAATGACCCTTTTGCCCGTAGAAAAAGTGGCACCACCCTACAAATTTGCAGAACCCACGTGAAGAAAAATGACCCCCGTAGAAAAATGACTCCCTGTGGATTAAAGCTGAAATTTTTAGGGGGCAAAAAAAAAATAGATAAAGAAGCATATTGGCAAAAATGCTCACCTGAGCTTATTTGGAATTAATTGATGATATGTTGATCTTATAACATAAGATTATAGCTATATTTTAAGATCAATGCGATGATTCAGAATCTAAAGGAGTAAAGTTTATCCAGCCTAAAGGGTTAGGTAAACATTTTTTTTCGATGGTGGAAATCATCGTACTGACAGGAAAAAAATCAACAGTATCATATATTATTATATCCTCCGTTTGAAAAGCGGGAGGGTATATAGTGATCGGGATGTCCGCCCGTCCGTCTGTAACGCTTTGGGGTATCCATCTGTTAACCGCAACTCCTCTTATATATAAAAAGATGTGTTTGTGAAACAGCTATGCCCCTGTATGGCAACATAGCGAAGATTAAACTTTTCTTAAATGCAATTTAAATATAATGGTACCCAAAGTAGGGTCTTCTCACAAGAAATACAATTGCAAAATAGGAAAGCCCTAGAACCACTTGTTCAAAATTAATGGCTAAGGATAAGTGTTTGAAAGGTAGGTCAAACTCAAAGGTCAAAGTTGATGGTTTCTTAAGAAAAGTTTAATGTAACAAGGATTGCATCTGTGAAGTGTGAGAGTACTTATTTTTAGTATTTACCGTTTAAAAGTTATTGCCAAAGTAAATTAAAAATTTGGCATTTTTTGTAAATTGGGACAAAATCCAACGTAAAGGTCAAAAGGTCAAATTTGGTTGTACCCAAAGTAAGGTCTTGTCACAAGGAATATACACATATTGAATATAAAAGTCATAAATGAAAATAAATGAAAAGTTATGGTCAAGTTTAAAGTTTTTGCGGAGAAACTGATCGCCAGATAGACAGACAGACATACAGACGGACACGATAAAACTATAAACCCCCGAATCTTCGATTACAGGGACATAAAAAGAAATGGTCTTCAATTAACTTTATATATTATGATACAGTATAAAGAAGACGTTACAAAAATGAAAATGTTTGTTCTGATTTTCATATTAAATTCTCTGAAAAATATACTCAGAACTGGGCAAAAGGGTGGAGTAAAACAAGAATTAAGAAATGTAATGAATACTGTGTGCTAAATCAAAAGTTATGTCTACATGTATAGTTTTTGCATTAAAATGTGTATGTTACACTAGCCCATAGCTTTACAGAGCATATTTTTAGGTGTTATACCCACCCCATCCCCTTAACTTATTTAGGAGGAAGTCGATTATCAACAAAAGCAACAAAAAAACCCAACCTACCTTTATTTTTCTATAAGGAGGGACTAAAAATAAGCTTAAAATAATCTACTATTCTACTAATTTTCAACTGTTACTTTGCCACAATACTTTCAAGTATACCCCCACCAACATTTAAAGTATGCTTTAATCATGGCGAAGTAAATTATGATATGATAGAACTTGTGTGAAGGTTTAACTTCATTTCAATATTTTATCTAGAGCCTCTTTCAGTATTATTGAAAGGTATAGAGTTTTATTTATATTTTTGCTTTTCATTTATTATTTTTTTGTTTTGATTTAAGGTAGGATTCTTCTCTGGTTTCTGACTAACTGAAACATTCAAAGTATATTTGCTTATATGTCTTATATATTGAGAAGTAAGGGATTTAAAAGACCATATTTTTCTTTCCTCATCACAATTGTACAACTTTCAATAGAAATGGTAAACTGCGTTTGAAAACTAGCAGGGACTATATTTTTGGCGGAATGGTAGCGTATGAAGATATGTTCTTTTCTGTCTCTCAAAATTATAATAGAACAATGAATTTAGTTATAATTTAAACACAATCGAAGACTTGGAGAAATTTTCAAATGTAAGTTAAATTAATATTGAGGGACTAAACTTTCAAAATATATCAAATAGATATGATTTTTCAAATAAACTAGAGCTTTGTTAGCTTTTAAACGCTTCATATCAAAGTGCAGATTTGATCCAAAAATCCATAAAAAGTATTTTTTCTCTCTTAGTAAACGATCAAAACTTTTTGTTTTTGTATCATTTTGTACATTCACAAGACTACTTAATTATATGTGAAAATAAGAAAAAGTTATTTATACTAGGAAGCATATGAAAATAACTAATATATCTATAAAAATTAAGAAAAACAGAGAAAATTCGGATTAGCCAAAATCCAGTTTTGTTAAATCATTTATGTAAATTTGGTAATATCATGCTATAGACCCGATATAGTAATATGGTTTTATGCAAAAAGAACAACTTTTAAACTTTTGAAATAGAAGTAGGCATCACATGATTAGCAGCAGTATTTTTTTTTATTCTTAATGTCAAGGAAAAAGATAATGACCTTGACCTGACCTTGCCTCTGATATAAAACGGTCAAATATAATCTCAATGACACTATCACTTACTGATATTGTCTTCTTGATTCTGTGAAAATTTCATAAATTTTTGAATATTAGGAATATGAGAAGAATCCTACCTTAACGTATTTTTTTAGGGGGGGGGGGTTTAAATATTTCCTCCTCTTTCATTGTCAAATAGGATTTGCCAAACTTATACAAGCTAAAAGTTGAAATGAAAGAAAAATGAATTTTTTCTATTAAAGAGTATCGGAACCTGATTGTTACATGGTTTGATTTCTAAAAGCAAGTGGAATATCATTCTTTAAGCAAACACTATAAGGAGGAATATTAAAAAGAAATTTTATTTACTTGACAATTAAAGAATCTCTTTTCACTTTGAAGGGGGTCATTTTTCAATGGGGGTCAATTTTTTTTTACAGGACTAACATATAAAATAATGACACCTAGGACACTTTTTCTACAAAAAATGACTTTTTTCTACGGGTAGGGGGTCATTTTTCAACGACAAAAAATGACCCCCGGTCATTATTCGATGGGGGTCATTATTCGTGTTTACACCGGTACCTACTGCGACACGGGACATCGGTTTCTTCAGTCTCATCCAAAGGACCAGTTGCCACGTTCCACAATGGGATTCAAACTCAAGAGCAGATGCTTTGACCACTGCACCACATTGTCGACCATCTACTTCTCAGAAGTTTTGATCATGTACTGACCCACTTCAAATCCCATATAATTTTTTTAACTTGTTATTTATTACTTATACATTTGAGACTATGGAATGTTTTCAAATATAAATTATTGCACTTACCGTTTATGACGCAAGTGTAAATCGGCTTGAAAGGAGAAAATCTATAAGCCCGTGATCTGAAACAACCGGAAGCCCGTGAAGTCAAGTGCACAAAGAGTGCATACGTCATTTTTACTTTCGCTTTTAAATTGCAGCCGCTCTATCGCATATCGACTTGCTTATCATTCATTTGAAAGTGAGAAGTCTATATATAATATCTTACATGGCAGAATCAGTAGCAGGGTTTAAATAAGAAAGCAGAGACGAAAAGTGTATACGAGGTTGGACTTTTGTCAGAGTAAATCCTTCAGCAAATTATTATTTAGCACATTTAGTAAACACAGCTGTGTCATGGTAAGTACTTTGTTTTAAAGTATTTTTTTGGACAGAAATAAAAAAAAAATCAATATAAGTCCGTTGCAAATTATTAGGCCAAATCTTAGGCGTTTGGGTCAATTCGATCTTGGAAACTTCTTTCTATCTCAACTATCAAACGTCAGACTGACTTTTTAGGAAAGCTAATACATGAACTTAAATCAGCATGGATTTGAAACAATTGAATACCGTATAAGTGGAAATTTTAGCGAGACGCAAATTTAGCGATTTGTCCTTAAAAACTGGTAATTTATTTTTAGCGAGATGTTATTTTAGCAATTTAAAATTGAACACTCAAAAAGCTATTACAAATAAAACGCAATTAATTTTAGCGATCTCGGCACCCTCGCTAATAATGCCAAAATTAAATACTCGCTAAAAAGTCTCTTTATACGGTATTTTAATGCCTATGGATACCCTATAAATCCGGAAAAGTCGTACCGAACCTTCTTTTAGTTTCGTTTATGTAAATCAAGGGGAATAGATATTTAAATTGATACTTGAATAATCAAATGGTGGATCATAGTCGGCCGCGTTTGCGGAATGACATTTCTTGCGCCAAACCTGTTTTTAAAATTATTAAATGAAGTTATGTAGTTGTCTGTAGCTAAAATGATTAAACTATAAGAAATTGGTACCCCTGCATTTGAAAAATTACAATTATAAATGTTTCATTGAATTTGAAATAAAAAAAAGAAGTGCCAAAGGTGGCTTTCAATACCTGTTTCATTGTCTTGCATGAAGGTTAAAAATGTTCGACACTTTATGAACGACACTAACTCTCTTTACCCTCCCATGTTCTAAAAACAAATACATACAAACATCTCTAAGCGGCACGACTTTGACATACTGAAACAAAACCTGCCTATGTTTTACAGTTAGCACCTCTGAGGAATGTTTACCTGGGTAGAACTCACGTGGCTATCAGTATTTTAAATAATTTATTCCACACGTGGGTTCAACATGGGTCATACAGGTAAATAGCTCTCACTTGCTATAGGAAAACATTGTACTTTTTATACATTTTCAGTATTTTAAGTACGAGCCTAATCCTGTGCAAATTTCATACTTTCACTTTAAGTTTCATAAATGTATTATGCGCTTTCTGTCATTCGCACAAGTTTGCACAACGTTAGGCTCATAGTTAACAAAAGCTTTGAAATGAATGACCATTCTCGATTTAATATAGAAAATCACAAATGTCGGCTGACCCTTACCACATTGTATAGTTTTGTTCTTTGTATATTCGTGGATTCCGGCGGTAAAATTTGTTGAATCGTATGGTTTAAATGGCAATTAATGATTTGAGATGAAAAAATTTGCTTAATTTGATTGTTTATATTTTCACATTTTACCGGGGCCCATAAGTCACTCGTTCTTTTCTCAGGAAAGTTCAAGTATAGGAAAATATGTTCTACGAAATTTCAATGTTCTTGCATTTTAAGAAAAGGGGTATATTAATGTACTTTCAGAGAAGTGAAATAATATGAGCGCAATCTCTGCATGATCAAAAATATGAAACATATCTTGGAATTCAAAGAAAAAGTCCCATCATTTGATCATCATATATTGTAGATCAAAGGTTGCGCTCTATACGAAATAACGGAAAATTACTTTAAAATTCTGCCATTTTAGCAGCATTTTTCAGTTTGAAAGGAAAATGACGCGTTTGATGACGTCATTATGCATTTACTAGAGAGCAATTTACGTTATTTTTGATAGTTTCTCAATCGCCAAAGGTCTTATTGATATTCAAAGCAGTGTCGACTAAAACCAAGCAATTTAAATTTTTCAGAAGTTCACAGTGCCAAAAATGCCTCAAACGAAGCCTGTTCTTTTAGAATATTATCTTTAATGAAAATATCTCCTCAAAATCAGCAAAATAAGAGAAACAAATATGAGATACATTCAATATCCACATTAGGGCATAAACCTCTGAAGTTCGAGTTGAAATTGATTTATAATTCCTAAAAGACTCATTTTCTTTGAGTTCCTGTTATTCTAATCTACTCAAAACTACACACCGTTTGAACGAAGCCTTTGTGGTTTCTCATATAATAATGAATTCATTAGAAGTGGAAATCGCTCATATTCCAAGACAAAAGTGTATATCTGTTCAAAGGTAATGGATTCGTCTATCAGGACGCGGACAATAATACATTCAATTTTTAAATAAATTATTTGTAATGAATCTATATGGAACGTCTTTATTTTACACAATTCACGTTCATAATTGGTAGTAAATTTTTAACATGATTAAATAATGAAACTTAAAGAATACAGAGCAAATTTTTGTTTAGCTAATATGAGTTATTTGTATTTTTGAGATGTCATTTCATTTTATGTTTAGTGATTTTGCATATATTGTTATTACAAAAAAAACAAAAAAAAAAAAACAAAACAATTTACAAAATGGAAGGATATGAAGCTAACGAAAAATATTTAAGCTCAAAAGTCCATTAAAAATACAAAATAGGAGCAGAGCAAACACGGACCTCCAAAACATCAGAGATGGGATCAGGTGCTATGGAGGAGTGAGCATCCCCTGCCGACCGGTTACACCCGCCGTGTGCTCCTTGTCATGATCGGGAAATAACGTGAAAATCCCTCGTTTATTCAGTAAGTAAACAATAGACTAACAATTAGTATGAAAAACGTTAGTCAGCATTTGACTGAATGATAAATTGTATTTACTGACAAGGTAATTGTATAGACCATAAAAGTTACGAAATGACGACTTTGAACGAGGCTGCTAATATTCTTGATTCATCAACTTGTTTGTCAATAATTTACCTCGTTTTAGAAATTGTTCATACGTAGAGCATGCTCTTGCGTACCGAATAACCTGAGATATATAGATCTGTATGCAGGTGATGAAGGTATATTGCTGCATAAGTAAGGGAAGTTGACGATAGAAAAGTTAAAGTCATCAGGTTTATCATAAGATTTTGCACAAATTCTGCTTCATATGAATACAAAAATAGGTCTGCTAATAACGGAGCGCAATTGGTACCCATGGAAATTCCAATTAACAGATTAATATGTGCTTTTTTGTAAGATATAAAACAAATTTAAAGAAAACAAAATCACATTGAATAAATCTTTATTCAAAAGATGGTAGATTGATGCAATCAACATCAATGATTTGATTTAAAGAGGAGAATAGTAGCAGTAATAAAGATTGTGGTTTCTTCCCCCGGCTCCGTAGGGATAACTTCCGGTTACAGAGTTTTTGTTGTTTTTATCCTCGTCATCAAAATGTACCTTCTCCTCTCTTACGTACATCCCCCTGATCACCTGACACTGTGACGTAAATCTTAACAGATAGAAGGGTTTGTCCGTCGGTAGCCTTATCTCATTGGTATACGAACCGTCTTCTCTGCGTTTGAAAGTGAATATGCATTACAATCAAGTTAATTCAATTGATAGTATAAAGATAATCTTAATCTGACCATAGCAATAATATGCATTTTGGCAAAATTTCGACAAAATCTTTGTGAGCATTATCAGACAAACACTGTAAAATTTTTAAAGGTAATGGAAACATAATTTTGGAATATCTGGTTATCCATAACTTAGCCATAATTGTATTTGAGAACCATTTTAATGATAGGATATACATGTGTATTTGCAAAATTGCTGCTGATAGAGCAAGGCGTAATTATGATGGGGCTCAAATGAAGGAATTGGCAATGTGAACATTTCATTAATTAGATATTTTATATGGTTAATTTTGGCATACCTGCAGCAGTATTCTATCCTAGTATTCCTGTTATACGTTCCAGTCGGCAGTGTTCCGCCATAAGAGTTCTTGTTCCTAGAATCCTCATCATCCCAGTGTATACTTCCACTTTTAAAACCTAATGTTACATTTAAGATAAAATCGAACACTGATTAAGAAAACTTTCTACAAGAACAAGATTAAATGCATTGCAAAATAAGGTGGAAAGTTTTACCCGAGGGAGGACAGCTAGTCCCGTGCTTAAGAATGCAGTAGTTTCCAGCTGGCCAGATCCCCTCGTCGTTTATGTCATTGGGATCTTTGGTACAATACTCGAACTTCATGTTTCTGCCAAAGGAACCTGTGCAAGAAATCTCCTGATTCTTAAAACCACCTTTAATATGTTAAAGTTAATGTATGCATCAATAAAATCTCGTAAATTTATTAAGTTGTTTTAATAAAATCTGAGAAAGATATTTATCAATGAATTGAATATTAGTACAAATATCTGATTTATACGATTATCAAAGACTTACGTTTCATGCATCAGCTTGATGTGTAAAAGTTTTAAACAAACAAATGCTAAAATAATGTAGAAAGTGAAATGTACAAGGCGTTTAAATTCTTAAAATTGGTAAAATTTAATAAAGTCTTTACTCGTGAATTGACTTTTTTTTAATACCTGAGAAGTGATGTCCATCAGCTAGTTGATTCTTGTTGTTGTCGTCCTCATTATCCTGGTGTCGCCACCCCTCCAGCCAGCCCGGTGGACATCCGGTCTTTGGTCTGACCAATGTATAGCTTCCTCTTGGCCACTTGACTTGCAATGTGAAATTTAGCAAAATATACAAGTTAAATAATCGGAACTGTTTTTTCTGATTTAAATCATAAATAAGTATCTTCTAAAAAATGTTTAATTAAACTTAAAAAAAGAAGCTAAGTGCAAAATCTACATAAGAGCATAATACCTGCTGAAATGCTTCTCATGTAACATATAAGAAGAAGAACCAATTTTCCTCTGAAGTATTTTGCCATTATAAATTCCACGAATACTTATTATTTTAGAAAATATCTTTATTGGGTTTTACAGATGAAAAACACTTAGAAGAATAAGCTTTATATAAACAATTACGAATCATTAAATAGATATCCGCTTCAGTGACACGTGTGCACGAATTATACAACATATTAAAATGACATTTATTAATATAATTCCCATCCCTTTTTATTTATTTATTTTATTTCAATTCCATTACATCCTGGACATTTGATGCTAATTATGAATGTTTACCAGCTATAACACATCTGTTTAAATGTCATCCCTTCAAGTAATCATAATAACTGATAATATCCTCCTGTTACATTGACAGTTGATTCATAAACAACAGAAAACGTGCAAATAATCAGGTGTTATCTTTGCTTAAGGACGTTCGATCCTGATTTTTTGAGTGGATTTTGGTCATGTCCTTTATTTATAAAATTCTGCATCATTTTTAAATTCTAACATTAAATCTGAATTCTACAATGCAAATTGAACTATATTCAATGAAAAAACCGCGATTAAATTCCATTCAAGTTGAATTAAACTAGGGACTATACTTTGTGGTGGAAAGTTTTTGAGACGAAAATCATCAGTTTTTCCCTTTAGAACTATAACAGTACTCTTTATTAGAGAAAACCACACATATATAAATTTCTTAAAGTTTAATGGCGAATAATGGCCATGGCAGCACTACAATTTTCAGGAAATTACATTTAGTTACTGGTTACAATCGTAACCAAGGTTACCGACCCAAATACATTGGGCGATTTTGGCAACCCAAATGGCAAATGGCAAATACATGTAAATGAAAATCATCATGAAATGGGCAAATACATTGGGCGATTTTGACAACCCAAATGGCAAATGGCAAATACATGTAAATGAAAATCATCATGAAATAGGCAAATATAGAAATGAATATGAAATAGGCAAATATACAAATGAAACTGTTAAGCAACCTACTGGCAAATAATACATTGCAAATGTTTCATCCAGTCTGACACAAATAAGCAAATTGAAATTTCACACATATTGAAAATAATTATGTACAGTTGTAGCGAGCCCTGGGAACAGATGCTCACTAAATATAACCCTATTTAAGTTCAGCTAAAGATTGCATAGTCTTATTCCATCTGTTATACATACAAATCGGGAATCGTACGAAAATCAGTCACATGTAAGCCAATAGTAATCACTGGGGCAAGATACTCACTACACATATAAATCACTATTCAAGTCCACCGACAGATTGTGGAACGCATCTAGAGAATTGTAACTTCATTGGTGCGGGTACGGTAACAGTTGGTTACATGAACAGCCATCGAAGGTTACAGCCATGCAGTGCGCCATGACGAAGTTAGGTGTTGAACTAAGAGATGTACTAGTACAAGGTACACATATAAATCCATTCAAGTCCAATGACAGATTGTGGAACGCATCTAGAGAATTGTAACTTCATTGGTGTGGGTACAGTAATGGTTGGTTACATCAACAGCCATCGGAGGTTACGGCCATGCTGTGCGCCATGACGAAGTTTGGTGTTGAGCTAAGACATGTACAAGGCTGAAAATAGAAAAATCAAGCAGCAGAAAATTGACACCAAACAGACAATCTATTTTATATATTCATACATTACATACAGGGTGTTGGTGGGTGGGAATTTTTTAACACAATATAAAATAAATAAACAAATTTTTATCTTGAGATGCAGGATATGTCTGCTCCCCTTCATTCTCTAACGGAAAAAGGAAGTCCCAAGGATTCGACTAAAATACCATAAGTTGAAAGAGCGGGGAAGTACTAATGACCCGATAACCCCGAATATGGGCCTCTCTAATAACGCGATTTAATTTTAAGCAATTAAATCGAATTATTAGAGAAAACCACACATATATAAATTTCTTAAAGTTTAATGGCGAATAATGGCCATGGCAGCACTACAATTTTCAGGAAATTACATTTAGTTACTGGTTACAATCGTAACCAAGGTTACCGACCCAAATACATTGGGCGATTTTGGCAACCCAAATGGCAAATGGCAAATACATGTAAATGAAAATCATCATGAAATGGGCAAATACATTGGGCGATTTTGACAACCCAAATGGCAAATGGCAATTACATGTAAATGAAAATCATCATGAAATAGGCAAATATAGAAATGAATATGAAATAGGCAAATATACAAATGAAACTGTTAAGCAACCTACTGGCAAATAATACATTGCAAATGTTTCATCCAGTCTGACACAAATAAGCAAATTGAAATTTCACACATATTGAAAATAATTATGTACAGTTGTAGCGAGCCCTGGGAACAGATGCTCACTAAATATAACCCTATTTAAGTTCAGCTAAAGATTGCGCCAATGGACACTATGTGTCCACCGCCACAATGGCGGTAGCTGAACGCTTATGATTACCCCCCCCCCCTCCTTTTTATAGAAAGGCAAAGCAAATAAATTAACATTGCATACCAAGACAAATGAGTATAAAACAATCACATTAGTAACATCTATTGTGTGTCTATTTTAGTTTGCTTTACATTATTTAGTCAGTGAAATAGACGTGCCATGGCCATTAAAGCCCACCCTTGACATTATAAAATTATGCAATGCTTTCCTCAAAGTTTCAACAAATATCTCATTGCCTTGCTCTGACAGGTGCACCCCATCCTCTTAAAGTAGAGTATGATCAACCAAAGTGAACTCTGGGCAACAAATATATCCCTCTTGATGTGCCAGAAGTTTCATTACAACAAAGCTATAAACTTGAAACCCGACTTTATTAAGAGCATGGTTGTCCCTAGTTTTATGCCAAATCAATCTAGGTAATACTGAGACCAAATAATTTCCAATAATTGGTGTTTGGTAACATAACTAAAATTGAATCAAAAGAATTATTTATGCTATAATGCAAAACACATGATGGAATTTGACCAATGTCGTTGCCATCGCAATGCAGAACCAGATTATAATTGTGGGGTATCTTCATACCTTAACATTAATTTGATTTTTGGGAGGAGATGTCAACATCTCATGCCGCCTTTTCCCTGCCACCAGCTATTAGCTTTCAATGTGGATAACCCAAACTGAACCCCCCATTTTGACTAGCATAACCAAAATCATACCATATTATTGCCGATCCAAAAATACATATTCTTACACCCTCTGAAATATTTGTAAACAAAAATGATCATATTTAAAATAAGATTTTGCATAAAGGTATTAGAAAATCTATCAAGCTATACTGCTTGAGGTGCTTAAAAAGTAATACAACCAATTGAGTCTTTAGCCATCAATGAATTTGAGGTTTGTATTCTTATTTATCTCTTGTAAACTTTTGATCCCCAACGACCTAATTCTTGATATAATTGGCAATCTACAGAACTTTGCAGTCCTGACATGCCTACCACCATCTTTTTCATAACAAAGTCTCAAGTACCATCAAGTTTACATTTAAAGCTTGTACCTGACAGATATGTTCTTACCGTAGCAGATCTTTGTATTGTGGAAAAGACTTATATAGGCAGTGCCTGCTGTCCAAACCTATTATGTTAATTCATAATAAAATATTGTTTAAATAAAATACTGTAGCAGATGACAGATACTTTAATGAACAACTAGCCATAAATTCTATTATCTATTTTTCATCAGGATGCCAAATCGGATGTGACCCACACGATAATAAGACAAGCCTTGAACTGTATATTGTTTAAACTGGAACAAGCTAAAAAATGTCCCTCATTACTTCAGTACCAACCCATTCACTTGGTCTCTTGAAAAACAACCAATGATTCTTAAAGAAAGCACCACAAACTAATTCTGAATTCCATGCACTGTCAGTAAATAATTGGAGTTGATCATCATCTACCCAGTCAATTTGTGGAAAGTAACAGCAGCCATTAAACAAATCTAAAAAGAGTAAGTCACACTTCCAAGTCCTCCTTTACCACCACAGAAACCCTAATAAAGCGATGTGGTTTACAGACCCCTTGCATGATGTCATAAATTATGCCTAGTGAATGCCCGGCCTGACAGAGTGACACACAAACAAAAATTCAACAAACCTGCAAGAGCCTTAAATTCCTTTAGAGTAGCCTTCTTTCTTGACATAAAAATGTTGATCAAATCCTTTAAACTATTCTACGTACTTCTCAACTGGGATTCTTAACATCATTTCAACCGAATATAACTCAAAACCCAAAAAGGTCAGGGGAGTGGAAGGCCACACTGTTTTATCATCGGCTATTGAGGGGACACCTAACTGCTCGCATAGCCCCACAAAGAATGACATGAGTTCGTCACATATATTCCTACCTGCCCTACCAGGAAACAAAAAATCATATAAGTAATGATTTCTGTCCAGACTGTTGCTTCAATATCCATTCCAAATATGATGAAAATTCCTCAAAAAGACTACAAGACACCACAAAATATTTGTTTTAAAACCTAAAAGCTCAAAGATCTGCTGGGTGAACAGGAAGCAACCTAAATGCAGACTTGAGGTCCATTTTACCAATCAAGGCCCCCTTACCCAACAAACTTAGTAACCTAACCGCATCATCTAATGAGGAGTAATTGACTAAGGAGAAAGATGGATCAATAAAGAAATTAACACTCGAGTTTTCCGGTTAAGATAAATGATTAATCAACCTAAATGATCCAACTTTTTTCAGTACTAAACCTACAGGTGAATGAAAGCCTTAGACTGGGAAAGGGTCTTGAATGGAATGGGCCAGTAACTCTTCCAGCATTAGTTTTTAAAACTTTTTTCAGAATTCCAAGCTCATTATCTCTAGCTGACTTTAAATTAAAACAATTAGTAGCTACCTTTTGGACTATTGTAATTTAGAAAACTTGATAAAACCCCTTTAGCAAAATTTTTGAACTCTTCCTATTATAATCAGAGTTTTGTAAATAAGCTGCAAGAACTTCTGCTTTAACTGGGGAATAACCTAGGTCCTGCAGATTGTGGTGCACTGGGGAATCATGCTCAAGACTGGGGTGGTCTTGATGAAGGTCCCTGGTTCCTGTATTATAATGGGTATCTTTGACCTGAAAAATCTCTAGAAGCATATTGATATTTAGCAGACGGGCCTCTTTACATGGATAAGGCCCGCTATAGTTCAAACATTTATGTAAATAATGGCACTGCTGTTTTACACAAACCAGATAATTGTTATAGTCATAGCATTTAACACCCCCCCCCTGAAGGTTTTTGCACCGGACCAATAAACGATGGTACCATGTACAGTAGCTTAAGCTCCTAATCAACTATTCTTCATGAAACACTTGAATTTCTTGCCATTCTCATTCGAAATTGCTCATTATAAAACTTCCACCTCATTCTGACAGCCTACCTGCTAGCCCCTAGAAAAACAGTGTGGATGTATTTAAACAAGCCAAAAAAGAAATTCTGTAGAGTGTACTGCGGCATAAACTTAAGAGAAAATCAAAAATGCGTAAGTCTACTGATGTACATTTGTAATTTTAACTGTAGCCCATTTCGGTTCAATTAATACTTGACCATTAGAGACTGTTAGTGTTTGCTTATTAACCATCGGGCCGGATTGGATAGAAGCTGTCCTAAATCAATGTATTCGGCCTTAACATTTTTTGTTTGATTCATTCTGTAGCAATTGCCCCCAAACTACCGCATATACCATCGATCTCATTACCTTTTGTATCAACATGATTGGCAGTCTCTACATTGACATTAGATTCATTGTTGGAACTAGTTGAAAAAGTAACCACACTTGTCGTAACCATGGTAACAATAATGTCTGTACAGGGTATGTTTTCCTCTGACGAAACTTCTGTAGATTCGACTGATCCCACTTTTTGGTTTAGGTCCACCCGTACGTGCTTATTTCCGCTTCGCCGGCTTGACAGCGGGTTTAACTCTAGGCATTTTCTGAAACTACCAACTTTGGAATAAGAAATACAATATAGAAATAGGTCTTATAATAAAGTTATTATTATTATTATTTTTAATATTGACTCAGCGTTACGACTTAGACACTTTTGTTAATAAAATTATTATTATTATATTTTGCTCAAATATTGACTAAGCGTTACGACTTTTCTGTTTTATATTACGCATGTGGTTTTTCAAAATCGAAAAACATCCGAAAAGTCATGTACATAATGATGCAAATACACACAAAAATAAAAATTGCTAGAAACAATATCCGTAAATTTCATGCGTAACATGAATTTTTTAACACAATATAAAATAAATAAACAAATTTTTATCTTGAGATGCAGGATATGTCTGCTACCATTAATTCTATATCGGAAAAAGGAAGTAACTAGTATTAGACTAAAATACCATAAGTTGAAAGAGCGGGGAAGTACTAATGACCCGATAACCCCGAATATGGGCCTCTCTAATAACGCGATTTAATTTTAAGCAATTAAATCGAATTATTTTGGATTCCTATTTTTCCATGCTGGTTGCACACAAAGCTGTTTTTTGCAGTAAAATATGCCATGCTGGTTCTGAAATATCTATTACATTATTTCTTATGAATTCTATCAACAAAGTGTGACAAATATAGTAAAAATATTCTGAAAACACGGGAAAAAATTGAGCCAAATTTAACGTAAAATTGACACTTTTTGAGTAATATCTGAAAATTAACATCATATACCCCCACATTTGATGTTCTTTTCTAAATATTCAAGGTAACTTTGACCTATTTGCTTAAATTCAGAAAAAGTTTAAGACTTTAAAATAATTTTCTTGCTTATTAAATTTTCAATGCCAGAAAAATCACATTTTATTAGTGCGGAAAGGTCAAATAATTGATAATGCGAAGTAATTTGAAACTTTTTCTTAGTTACAATTTTAAAGTGTCTTTTTTTTAAACAGACTTAGAGTTCATTTTGTTTTTTGCTTTAATTGGATAAAAATATTGCAGGGAAAACGTCGAAGGTGTAATTTTTAGTAAGACACAAATTTCAGTGCAAGAAGGTCATATTAAATGTATCGTAGCGCCAAAAGAAGCATATTGACCCCCATTTTTTGATTTGAATTTTTATTAAGCTATGTATGTGGAAACTTAAAATATACTTGGCAAAAAAAGTTTAAGACTTTAAATATCAGGATCGAACGTCGTTAAGGAACAAAAGAATATAAATATAGGAATGTAAATTTCAGAATGGTATGCCTCTTAAGACAAGGAATTGATGATTTTAATCACTTTTAAAACCCCTTACTTTTATATTCACGTTGACTACAGTCATCTACTGTTATCTATTCAGTTCGGAAGTCTCGTTGACGTGCCCGGATGACAGGAGATACATTCACCTTCTTGGCACCTGATCCCACTCACGTGTCTTAGTACATGTTTCACAAATCGAACAAAGGATTTTTGCTGCTACCAAATCGGTGTGTTCCCCGAATGGCTACTCGGAAAAAACAACAAGTAATTATCACACTCAATTAAAGGGCCCTCTAAGGGGTACAGGTAGACTTACCTGTTTTTACCTGGATAAGCAATATTTTATAAATCAGATATATTCATTCAATTTTATTTTAAATAAGGGTTGTTTTTCCCCCCAAAAATACTGAATAAAAAAAAAATAGATATATATAAAATATAAATAGATAAAATTAAGATTAAGAAAAATATAAATAGATAAAATTAAGATTAAGAAAAATAATTTTTCTATTTTACCTTTAATTTTATTTTTTTTCTCCAAATTATTCAATAGTAATGATTGAGAATTTACAAATTATTATCCCTTTTTTATGCTACATTTTCACACTCTTTTAAATAAGTTAACACAAATGATTTTTTCTTAAAATAATATTAGATATTTATGTATGATAAATTAAGTGTTTCTATAAAGTTTTTTCTAATTTAATTCATTTATTTATCATTTTAATTAATTTTTTATTATTAAAACATTCTTTTAATCATCACAAAATACAGAAGTTTATGAATATTTTTTTCTGAATAAATATAGACGATTCGAGATAAAAACAGATCACTTTGATTTTTAAGGAATCCCTAAGTTAATAACACAGACTCTGCATCTGAACTTCTTCATCTTGGATACTAGTGATCCCTTAGTTGTGATGAAACATATGGAGATGGACTAAATAAATTGTAATATTGTAAATGTGTGTGATATGAAAGTGAAACAGTGCTATTTAATTTATAATGTGAAAACCAGTGCTGGTATACAATAGAACTTCCAAGATGATTTTAATATGTTTTGTGCTTGTAAAATTATATGTTTAAAAATATGTATACAAAATATCTATTGACACCAGTGCTCAAATTAAATAAAATTTCAAAATCCATTTTATTTTACAGTGTACCTGTACCCCTTAGAGGGCCCCTTAATTGAGTGTGATAATTACTTGTTGTTATTTCCGAGTAGCCATTCGGGGAATAAACCACCAAATCACTTGGTACACCCCAAGCCTAAGCTTCATGGTTGGGCGATTCTGCCATTGTGTGCATAATTATTGAGCAAATCATTACCAATGATAGGTTACAATCATGGACACAGGGCAAGGTCACCAAACAATGAATAATGGACCTGATGTGCTACATAGTGAAAAAAAATGTACATAGTTACATAAATTAGTACATGCAGGAAAAAAGACCTCTTTCTCTTCCTCTGTCTTACTTCCTGTATTCAACTTTAGCCGAAATTAAAACATGAAAAAAATTAATTAAAATCAAATGTAAAAAAATGTGTAGTAATTATTTAGGATTTCCATTTACATTGTTACTTTAATAAGAATTATCGCATTGAGAAGTGATATAAAGAACAATAAGTTAAACATTTGACTTACTATAATATTCAATTTCTTCTTTGATTCCAATTAAATAGATACATGTATGGCCTGATTTGGTAACAGCAAAAAATCTAATTATGATTTTTTAAAGAAGTTCAAATACGTTGGAACCGTCCTTTATTGCTTAAGTAGTGTACATGTATATCCAACCGTAAACCTCTCTTTTCCTGCTTTTAGTTCTCTGTGGAATTCTTTGCTTTCAGGAGAAATTTATCAATTTTACCACCAAAAACAAATGTTTAATAATGTCCACAAAAATAAAATGCTCCTGACTTAAATCCATCAAAATGACATGACTATCTTCATACAGAGATATTTGAATCTACAGAAATGAACCTGTATTGTGTTTGAAAACTACTCACTGTAGACCGTCACCTGACAGGTAGATTTTACCCCAAGGGTATAATTGTCACATCTGGGCCTGTACAAAATGGCAATAGTTAGGGTCAAACTCTACTTATCTTGATTGAATAAAGATTTGTAATCAAATAGACAAAGACACAAAGGGCTTAATTTCTCGTGTGAAGTATGTACTAAGTATGTTGTTAAACTTTCCCCTCGCCATTCGATTTGGTCCCTCGCTTCGCTCGGCACCAAATCTCATGGTACTTGGGAAAAGTTTACCAACATATACTTAGGAGATTGTACTGTTTTGCATTGATTTATTTTTAATTTATTGTGTTTTTAGGAGATTGTACTTTTTGCCGATTATAGATTTATTTCTAATTTATTGTTTTTTAGGAGATTGTACTTTTTCCCGATTATAGATTTATTTCTTTTTTTTTTTAATATAGAATAAATACTATTCATAGGGAGATTTAAAGCCACTTGTAATAAAATATCAAAACAAATATCAAAAGCACAAATATGACTGAAAGCGTTGCCAAAACATTCAGTCGTTTTTAAAACTAATACTCTTAATTTTCTTTTATTTTTTAAAATAATACTTTTCATTTTATAAGATAATTCATGGACTTCCTTACAATATCAAAAGTATGTTGCAAAAAAACTTGATTGTACTTAAAGAAAGTTTGTTAATTGCAGGGATACGATTGTCCTTAAAATGTTTCATATCAAAAGTTAAATTAGTACTTGTAGATGGCAAAATCATTTATGGCGATGTTATGTCATAGAATAATAGAAATGAGAACATTTTACATTTTACATTTTTTTTAAATATGACAATGTGCATATACTTATACGAAACATTGCAATAGCTTCAATTATAAATTAATCAAACATTATAAATTTGTTAAATCATAAAATATGCGCCGCAGAAAACTTTCAAAAATTCTTTTAAAGCCTAGAAAACATAAAAATCTTTATAAAAGATCAATGCTATAACTATTTACTATGATACAGTATCAACTAACGTTATGTATAGTTGCGTTAGTTGGCAACAAACTATTTGTATTGTTTGAAATAATTTTTAAATTGATCTCTGTCCGACACATCTGTTTCATATTTAGTTATTTCACTTGAAAAAGACGTTGATGGTATTCTACCAACCAAGCTTTATGAAAAACGACATGACTTTAACTTTTCAATCGTCAACTTAGCTTACTTATGAGGCAATATACCTTCATCAACTGCATAAAGGTTTTTATCTTTCAGTTGATTTAATACACAAGAGCATATTTTACATAAGAACAATTTAAAAAAAAAAAGAGGTAAATTATTGACAAGCAGGTTGCTGAAATGATAATATCGGCAGTCTCGTTTAAAGTCATCATTTCGTAACTTCTATGGTAGGTGCAATGACCTTGTCATCAAAAAGAATTTATCATTAAATCGAATGCTGACTGACGTTTTCCATACTACATTGTTAGGCCGTTAATTATATTCACACTGAATTGACGACGGATTTTCCCATTATTTCCCGATTATGACAAGAAGTACACGGCGGGTGTGACCGGTCGGCAGGGTATGCTCACTCATCCATGGCACCTGATCCCGCATCTGATGTTTTGGAGGTCTATGTTTGCTCTGCTCCTATTTTGTATTGTTTTATGGACTTTAGAGCTTGAATACTGTTCGTAAACTCTTACTTACTGTATTGTTAGAAAAAAATCATAATAATCTTTTTTCACAAGTATAATAATGACCAACTTTTCAATCTTCACAATAGATTGAAGATCAGACTTTTAGCAAAATACATCCGTAATGTCTACACACACGTATTCTGACATTGATATTAAAATGATACTGGAGTTCCTTATTGTCATCATATGTTGAAACTGTAGAATTTCGTTGAAGAATGTTTGCGCTACTGTTTATATATACCTACGAAGCAGAATTTATTCAAATCGCCTACAGGAAAAAGGATAAGATGAGATTGACATTAAGATACACAGGGAGAATAAATTTATCTATAGTCAATTTAAATTGTTCCGTTTGCTTTAATTGGCAAAATTCTAGCGCTCTCTTTAATATAAATCTGAAATTAGTTTTGACGCAAATTTGGGGAGAAATAAATGATGAAAGTTAACATCGTCTCAATTTTAATAAAATAGAGGTATGGGGTTTCTTATGGAATCCGGATAGGGCCACGCACTTCACTATCGCACCATCGAGCATCAACTTAAAGGTCGATGGCGCGATAATGCGATGGCGCGATAACGATGAAACGGTGGTGCGATAACGATAAAGCGATGATGCGATAGCGCGATGGCGATGATACTATGGCGCGATAATGCGATGGCGATGGTGCGATAGCACGATTGAGCGATAGTGAATATCGCTTCATCGTCATCGTACTATCGTACCATCGTCATCGCATCATCATGTCATCACCATCGCACCATTGCGTCATCGTACCATCGCATTATCGCACCATCGTCATCGCATTGTCGCGCTATAGCATCATCGTCATCGCGCTATCGCACCATCACTTCATCGCTATCGCACCATCGCCTCATCGTCATCGCATTATCTCTTCATCGCACTATCGACCTAAACCTCGATGGTGCGATGATGCGATAGTGAAGTGCGTGGCCCTATCCGGATTCCACAGTTTCTACTGTTATTTGATTACTTATTATGTTTACCGAATTTTCCCCATCAATTTTCTATAATTTCAGAGGTCAGTATCGGTGATCAACTTGAATTATTATAATTAAAGAGGTTTTCCATAAACCTGACTTTTAATAGGAATCTCTGTTAGTAGTGTTGGCAGAATCAAAACCTGACACAGAAAACAGAGGTGCGTTTGATTTAGTGGAGTAAGCAATTCACCTGCATTACTACGAAACTTATGCAGGGTATGCTACTCTGGTTTGTTATCATTTTGCTGGAGTCCAAGTCTATGTATAGAGACTGAGAATTTTTTGCTAGTCTACTATTTACTTTGTGTAAGGTTGAGTCCTTTTTGCACTGTAAATAAAATATTTCATATACGGTATCAAAAACAGCCTAATCGGAAATTTTCTGTACACTCTATAGTACCTACATTTATGTAGCAAGAAAACGAAAAAAATGCTAACCATTCAACTCTATTTAAAACTAAACAATAAACAATATCGTTTCTGTGACACAATTATGTTGCAATATTCTTAAAAAGTGTGGGATTGGAATGAATTGTTTTTGCAATTTTAATGGTACTAAGTTCAAATAATCTCGCCATTGTGTTTGGTGATTGCTTTTGATACCATGACAATACATCCAAAGTTAAGGGGGATGTACAAGCCATATTGGATCTAGTCTGGTGTAAAATAAGAAATACCAAGAATGCGCTTAATACTCTACTAAACTAGCCCAAAGTTACTCAAAGTGCTAATGCACTAATTACCTACTGTTAGAGACCAAAATCAGTTAATAATTAAGTTTATTTTGCTTTAATTAGGAGGAAATGAATCATGTTAGAACTGCGCAGCTACAGCATTCATGAGATGAAAAATGCATTGAATATAGTGTTAGTTTGATTCATTGATAATATGGCTAGCTACAACCATTTGTTTCGCTTTTTTCTTGTCATTATCCATAATTCTTGAAAATTTGATTTTTCATATGGGTGTCTTCCTGAGACCATGTGTTTATTTCGTCCGCCATTCCTCTGTCACACAGAGTTCGAATAGCATTGGTTTTAGAATAAATGCGACCATAATAACATCAAGACAAGAAATTACTAAGTAATAATCATTAGGTTATATTACTCATTACTTTTATTTGTTGCATTGCATCGTCTGATTAATGAAAAAAAGCGATTTTAACCCCACTCCAGCAAATCGGGAAAATCTGTTCTGTTTACAGCTCGAGTTTCCTCGATAATATCATTCCACTGAGCACGTGGTTGGCATGTGCATTTATCTGCTGTGGATAGATGCGTTTATTACCATGATTATATTTAATTTTTCATGGAACAAGTCTTGATGATTTGTTGGTTTCTTTAAAACTCAAGAAAAAAGATAAAACATGTCCTAAACATATGTGATTACCGCGGGTCTTTTTTCTGTGGCGATAGAAGTTATTTTCAAATGGGGCACTGCAAGGAGGATTCTTAGCATTTAATTTGAAAATGTTAAACAATATGCGGTGCATGAAAAACAAATTGTAATTACATGCCTTACATTCGAAAAGTTGGTACATGTGTCTATTTTGTTTAGCAGTTAGATAGAAAAAATAGACAGTTATAGGATTTCCTTCAGGCACCTCACATAAATAGCTAGATTGTTTGCAATGAACCACACATTGTATGGAGTAATGTTTGGACATAAAAACGCATCATGTCTCATTATGTTGACAACATTGTAAGCTCTCGCTCATTGAACATACGAAGCTTGATAAAATATATTGAGTTGTTTCTTTGAAATTTAGAAGCAAGCACAATGTTTGCAAAGAAAAGTCCATTGCATATGCTATGTCTTTCACGCAAAAAAAATGAGAGGCTACCCCCATCCCCACCCCCCCCCCCGAAAAAAAAATCCTATGTTTTTCAAAATAGTGCCAAAGATTCAAAAATTTTGCATTACTAAGTATGTGATGGAACATGTACTAGCCTTATAAGACAATTTGTTATAAAAATATTTGGTTGCCCTCTCTCCCGATCTACTGCCTAGAAATGGCCCGACTCAATTTTTTTTACATCCTACTACATGTTGTTTTTTTTCTTCCGTCAACGAATATGTTTAAAATTTTAGGAATTTTTTTTCTCACCTATAAATACGGACCCAATAATTTTTCCCTGAGTTGGGAGGACCACCAAACATCATTTTAAAGATGGTATAAAATGTTTATTAATGTTGATTTTTTTTCCTTTACTCTGTAAAATTGTAATTTTGACAAAAAGGGCAAATAGAAAAAGTTTTTTTATTCATTAAATCTCCTAACCCACTCTGAATGATTTCATTCCTTTTCAAATGTTGCTCCGCTAAAATCAAAATTGTAAATGTTTATTTGACAGAGTATACGAGGGTAGATCAAAAAGTAAACGATATATCTTAGGTATTTGATAGTTATATTATTGTTGAAATATTCAAGTATTTTTCAAAGTGTAAATTGGAGGTCTTTGATAGCATATTGCTTAATTAAAAACACATCCCTTTTCAAACTTGCTAATATATCACTGGGCAATATAACAAGTATCATATTTAACCATCTGCCTTCCTTCACTAAAACGATCTATCCAATCATTGATTGAATTTGTAGGAAGTCATTTGTCTTAATAAACTATGAACAAATTCTTATATGCTACTTCAAAGGCATTTTTAAGATATACCATAAATATTTTAGTCGTTTGTTAAACGAGTTCCACTGAGGCAACCATTTTTCGTCACAAGAACCTGCATAATGACGTCATTATGAGCAAAACTTTATTCAGCATGTGCTATTTTATAGAACTTGTGTTTGGCTATGTGTGCACCAAATTTGTTTCTAATCTGAATTGTGGTTTTGTAGATATAGAGATAGTTCGCGAACTTTTTGATCACCCCTCGTACTAGTAGGTCATTCATATCGATTTTATGTGTTTAATTTCTTTGTGTTTCATTAGTGATAATTAAAATTTTGATATACATTATAAGTTATCTGTGGCAAACTTACAAACTCTTAATTCTTAACTTTGATGGTGCTCATTTTTCCTTACCTGGAATCAAAGAGTTTAAGATTTTTTTCTTTGATATCAATAAGTACATTATTTAACAACTGTTCGATAATAATACTAAATAAATTACTTCAAGCCATACTATAACACATTTCCTCTTTTAAAAGTGTTCATACTATTTGAAATATTTTGCAACTGTAATTCTCTTCTACATTTAAAGACTGTTATGTCCCTCCATATTAAGAAGAGGTCTGGAAAACAAAATTCTGTGCTAAAAATAAACCACGTGCTGCTATCCATGAACTACTTTCATGGTTCTTTACACTCTTTTTGAAGACAACGATACCTTGTTTTGAACTTGAAATTATCATTTAAAAGTGCAAAATTTAGACATTTTCTCAACAAATGGTTGTAGAGAGAACATTGATGCACAGTTTGCATATTTTTTTGGATTTTTTAAGGCTCTGCTGAATTCTGTAGCTGCGCAGTTCTAAGGAGCATATCAAAAGCATTTTTCTGAAAAAGTATAGATTATATATGCACAACATGCATTCAGTTATGAATATTTATTGTATCTTTATCATAAGGACTTAAAATTTGATCAAAATATGATGTATTTTAGCCATTTGAAGAAATGTTTACATTTTGTTCTCACAGCACTAAAGGTGGCCGTACATCCCCCTTAAATGAATATATTTTTTTCTTTTACAAAGGAGAATAATAGCAGTAATACAGGTCAGTGTTTCTTCCTCCGGCACCATAGGGGTGACTTCCGGATACCCAGTTTTTGTTGTTGTGGTCTTCGTCATCAAAATGCACGTGTTCTTCTCTGACGTACATTCCTTTCACAAGTTGACAAGGGGAAGTAAATCTCATCAAATAAAATGGTTGTGCCGTTGGAAGTACTATTTCCCTGGTATATGAACCGTCTTTCCTGCGATCAAAAACGCTATTACAATATTTAAAACCATAATAAATCTTTGGAAGAGTAACTTGATATCAGCTTTCCTATTTCTACCATTATATTATTAATTTTCCAGAAATATCAACATTAATTACTTGTAAGAAGAGAACCAGGAAAAATTCTTGAGTAATTGCCACGTGTTCTCTATATAAAACTTGATGAAAAGAAGGCTCACAAGAAATTTCATCCTAATAAATCCTTCACTTTACAATCACACAAGCTCGTGACCTGACAAGTAGAGCACAATATTGAAACACCTATTTGTTGGATATTTTCTAACCTCTAGGTTAGTACATATGATGTAATGTAATCATGGATCCTTTTTGGCGTAGAAAGCTTATTCAATGACTATGTCCTTCTTTGAAAAGTAAATATGATCTTGCTACCTTTGTTTTAGCAATCACGTTTGACATAACGAAATTTTTGTTATCGAAATTCAAATACTAGCCCATTTTCAAGATATAATATAAATATTATAAATTTACTCTTCTCCCGAGCCTTTTTTTAACCAAAAAATGCACGGCCATGTTTTAAAGGAGAAACTCATCTGGAATTTTGGACAGAAACACGGATGGGGATCTGAAGACCCTGAATTAATGCACAAGAATTTTAAATTTAATTTTTATAAAACAAACGATGAAGGTCCTCATTGACAATACTATCATAGCATCAAATTTGAAGACCTGGTCCCAATTCCATAAACAGAAGACAGACTAAAACAAATTTTGATTATATATATATATATATCTTGAATTTTATGTCATAGATTTGCTTTGAAATTTTTGCCATTTTGTACAATATTTAAATTCAAACATGTGATGAAAAATTTGTTTCATTATCAAAATTATTTCGAAAGTTATATTGGTTTGAAATATTCACTTAAGGAAAAATAAAAGAAATTTGATGCGTGTATTAATACACATTCTTTGACTAATTTTGAATAGAAATGGCATATACGTAAAAATTAAGAAATCGTATTTTTTCTTTCTTGAAAATTTCTACTTAATCAGGTAAACATTTTTCTGTTTACTTATTCAAACATCAATCTAAAAAAAATATTGCTGATTTCTGAAAAAAAAATGGTTAAGTTATTTATCCTTAAGTTTTCTCTCAGTTTGTGGTTTGAGTCCCCACTAACCTGTAATCAGTTGGTTATCTTAAAGGTACTGACCGCGTTAATGTTTTATATTGTTATGATTCTCATTGCTTTATATGCAATACTGAGATTATTTATCAACAATATTCATTTCGTTAGTTCTATGGTCCTTTTATGGTCATTTTAGCAAAATGATTATGATATAGATTTCGTAATTTTTATATCATATATTTTCAGGGTTATGTTGTAGGGACTTGGTTCCAAGAATGTTCCAATTTAACAATGTCTGTAAACTGTGATCTTTGTTAATAAGTTTTCTGTTTAGGCCTAGAAATCGATGAAACCAAATATACTCTTTGTTTTCTAGTATTCATTCAAACGGTCCCTCCTACGCAATGTTTTCTACAAGTAGACTCAAACTTTACTCAGCGTTATATGTTCGCCTTTAAAATCAGTTAAAAGTTTATTTTTTACATAACTGTAAATTTTGACTTCAATTTCTTGGATACAATACTAATTCTTTATGTACAAAGCATAAAAAGAGTTTATTTTTCTTAACGTCTATTTCTTATCAAGCTACATATACATGTATGTATAAGTAAGAATATTAAAAATTGATCGATAAAAAAAATCAAACAATATAAATCTCTTAACAAGCCATAAAACAAAGATACTTTCCCAGATATTCCATAGGGGGGATTCATACCACCAATTGACCTCTGCGTCTCCGCACACAGAGATTTGGTTTGGTACAAACGAACTCTTTCCAAAGTTTTAGGTGGGATTAGGCTCCAATGTTTAACAACTGAGACAATCTCATCTTTGATCTCAGTCTCATTTTTTCAAAAGGAATTAATAGTGGAAAAGTGAGAGAGACTGATATCAAAAATGACCTCATCTCAGTCGTATTGCACCGGAGCCAATAATCTACATGTAGGAAGAGGAAGCATCTCTTGCTGGTCTGTCATCTCCGCCATAAGCCCCGTATATTGACGAGACAAACATTCCGGAGTCCATTTTAGTTTACAAACAAAGGTTAATAATGAACGTTAGCAAAATACTAAAGAAAGGTTGCATTTTAAGAAGGTCACTGTAACTAATATGGTATTGACAAAATACTGTCTTTAAATGAGGCTATTAAAGTTCTTGCAACATTAACTTATCAGCCCGTAGCCTGTCCTGTTTTGAAAATTAATCTTTATCCAGAGCATGCTCTTGAGTACCTAATACATTTGGAGATGTAAACTTTTAGCTATTTTCAATATACCTGCAGCAATATTCAATCCTTGTATTTCTATCATAACTTCCGCTGGGTAGAACTCCTCCATACGAGTTTTTATTTCTAGAATCCTCGTCATCCCAATGTATACTTCCATTTAGAAATCCTGTGTAAAAAACATAAAATTGCTTTTGAGATATGGTGTTAACTGTAAAAAGAAACACGAAAGCATATATTCTGGATAGCCTAAATGAATATGGGTAATTTGAACTCAATCTGTTTGTTTTTAAACTTTCAAAACTTTAAAGTGGGTATTGAGGTTTAAAATAATTGTCGCGTTCAATTCCTTCGAGTTGAAATTTGCAGATGACAGTGCTCACTCCTCCATGGCACCTGACCCCAACTCTGATTTTTGAAGGTCTGTGTTTGCTCTGGTCCTATTTTGTATTGATTTATGGACTTTTCAGCTTGTCTGAATACTGTTCGTTATCTCCAAACATTTCTAAAAGAAAATGCTTCAACCTCTCGGCGGACACGTATGTCCTTGTTTTAAAATGCAGTAGTTTCCAGCTGGCCAGAACCCCTCGTCGTTTATGTCATTGGGATCTTTGGTACAGTAGTAGAACTTCATATTTCTGCCAAAGGAACCTGTAAATGAAACATATGAAAGTTGATTTTAGTTCAGTTTTTGACTGATTTTTAATTTGTGCGTCACAAAGGTCATTTAAAAGACTACAAAGTTATTTAATAAATATAATTACATCTTTACAAAAACATCTTTATTTTCTGCTGAGATATTTCAATATGTCTTAACTGTAGGAAACCAAAAGCAATTTTCAAAAAATGCCGAAATGTGACGATGTATATTTTTTATGTTACGGATTAGAGGAATCACAACTTAACTTGCTAATATGTGTTTACGATGTAAAGATTTTACTAGGTGCAACTTTCCGAAGAAATCAGTCTGATTAAAACCAGCCCCCTTCTCCTTTCACTGACGAGTGAAAGGAGAAGGGGGCTGGTTTTAATCAGACTGCGAAGAAGTGATATCCAATTGTCATTTTATGCTTCTTACTCAAACAAGTAAAGTGAAAGTCTTTGGCTCTACTCAAACAAAGGTGATGTCCAATTGTGTGTGTTGCTACTCACCGAAGAAGTGTCTATTTGTCATTAGACTTTTGCGAGGAGCGCTTGTATAATTTACGGCTTACTTTAACACTAGACAAATGTACGGAAGCACTTTTACGATAAAAATTTTAAACATTTGATTAATAAAAAAAATGAGGGGTTCTTTCAAAGCACAAATAAGTTGCTTTTGACGAAAATTCAACCATTCTACCATCAATTCCCTGCCTCCTATGTTAGTACCCCTAACAGAACTAGTGCTAATTGTAACGGGAACCGTTACAGATGTTCCCCAAACGCTCCCCAACTCCCTTTTGGTGCCATATTCCCTGTAAGCCTTATTAAATAGGACACCATCTGTGCATTTTTTACTTTAACAATGTTTTCCCAAAAGGATACCAATTATATTCAAATTTTAACATTGCACGCCTGCCCATGTGAATGCACGTGCGTAGTGATCATATAATCTTGTCTACACTTTCTATATATTCAAATATACGTTATATATTAAAGCATTTAGTCAAAAAGTATTAAAAATCACTCATTCAAGTGTATTTTTAATTTCACTCATTCCAAATGCACGCACGTGCGTGCACGTGCATTATTATCATACCTTCTTGTAGGAGGCCCTTATATATATCTATGTTCTAAATCCCATCCTGTTTGGTTGAAAACCAAGGGAATTATAGCCATTTCAAGTTTCAGCCAATCAGATTGCAGCACACATGCATCCACGTGATTTCTTGAATTTTTTTCTAAATCATATTGTAGAATATCCTAATGCATGACTATGTTTCAGATTTCAAAGCATTTCGTCAAAAAACAAAGGAGATATAGCCATTTAAAGTTTCAGCCAATCAGATTGCAGCACACGTGCATGCGCGTGATTTCTTGAAATTTTTTGTATATCATATTGCAGGATATCCTAATGCATGACTATGCTTTAAATTTCAAAGCATTTTGTCAAAAAACAAAGGAGATGTAGCCATTTAAAGTTTCAGCCAATCAGATTGCAGGGCACGTGCATGCGCGTGATTTCTTGAATTTTTTTGGATATTATATTTCAGGATATCCTAATGCATGACTATGTTTTAAATTTCAAAGCATTTCGCCAAAAAACAAAGGAGATATAGCAATTTAAAGTTTCAGCCAATCAGATTGCAGCGCACGTGCATGCGCGTGATTTCATGAATTTTTTTCTATAATATGTTGTAGGATATCCTAATTCATGACCATGTTTAAAATTTCAAAGCATTTCGTCGAAAAACAAAAGAGATATTGAGATTTTTGTTTCAACCAATCGCTTGTGCATGCGCGTGATTTCTTGCTAATTTGACAGTGTCATATTATTAACACTATTAATATATCTTTATGTAATGAGTTTCAAAGCATTTCATCAAAAAATGTAAAAGTTATAGCTATATTAAGTATATCAGTCAATTCACTCATTTCACGCGCACGCACGTGCAGGCGTATGCGCGCAAAATGACCTTCGTTCCGCACACCTACACTTCACACCTATTAACCCTAAAAAGCTTTTAGCTCAGTTGGGTGGACAGTTTCTGAGAACACTCGCGGACAAAACAGTACCGGAGAACAAATAAGAAAAAAAATAATGATAATAAGAAACAGAGTAAAAACAATATGTTCCCAAACTCCGTTTGGGGAACATAATTAAGGGCACTACCTATGACCAATAGAAAGGTTTTCTTATCTTTTATCAATTCTGAACCTCCATACATGATAAGATGTACATGACGAAGTAGACTATCAACTGAAAAAGTAAGTCTGAGTGCTTCTCTAAAAGTCCCTTGGTGCTAATCACAATGAAATATATGGAGACTGCGATTAGAATTCGAACTCAAAAGTTAATCAAACATGGACCTCTAGCACATTAATGGCGGGATTAGGTGCCATGGTGGAGTAAACTTCCCCCGCTGACCGGTCAGATTGCCGTATGCTCCTTGTCATGTTTAGGGGAAACAAAACGGAAATAAGTACTACTCACTACTCACAAAAAGCTGACTCACAAAAAGCTGATGTCTATTTGTCATTGATGCTACCTACCAAAGAAGTGATGCCCAATCGTCATCGAATTTTCATTATCGCCATCTTCGTCGTCCTGGTCCCGCCATCCCTCCAGCCAGTTGGATGGACAACCAGATTTAGGTTTGATTAAAGTGTATGTCCCTCTAGGCCATTTGACTAACAAAAAGGATGGGAAAACAAAAAAAGTAATGTTGAAAAACCCTCTCTACACTGCATACAAAAGAGTTCCGACAGATTCCATGGTACTAGTATTTTTCTGCAGTTAGAGTGATCTGTCCTTACATCTACATTCCAAGATATAGAAATTTACAGTATATTACACACTTTGTAATCAGTACAAGTTGTTTTGTTAACATTTTAAAAGGCCAAGATAAAGTAACTTAATTTACTCTGTGGAAGTACACACTATACATTCATTGACTGAGTTCGAGAACAACATGGGTTTTGTTGGACCAAAGAACCAAACTGTCTGCCTTTAGGCCGTTAGGCCGAAGTCAGACAGTTTGGTTCGAGGGTCGACAAATCGCATTTTCCCCGAGAACTCCGTCGAAAAATGTTTTGTTATGCCTTTCATTTAACTTTATTATTTTTTTTTACATTTACATGGATTGTGTACTGTATTGCGTGACGTAACATCAGGTTCATCATTGTTGAACACCAACAAATGAAAATAAGATTAAGCTCCGCCCATTCTGTGACGTAAGAGGTCACTCAGCGGTCAAAAATCAATTTTTTATGCCCGCTTGCAAAACATTAGAAATGTTAGACCTTTTAGCTCACCTTGACGAAGTCGAGATGAGCTTATTCTATACCCCCGGCGTCGGCATCGGCGTCCCAGTTTAAGTTTTAGGAGCAGGTCCATTCCCAAGTAACAATAAGCCCTACCTGGACCAAACTTGCGTGGATGATGCATCTGGGGATGGACACTACCAGACTTGCTTCGGATACTAGATCTGACCTACATTTTCCAGATGAGTGACCAGGTTAATGTTTTTGGAGCAGGTCCATTCCCAAGATGAGTGACCAGGTTAAAGTTTTTGGAGCAGGTCCATTCCCAAGTAACTATAAGCCCTATCCAGACCAAACTTACACGGATAATGTATTTAGGGATGGACACTATCAGACTTGCTTCGGATGCTGGATCTGACCTACATTTTCCAGATTAGTGACAGGTTATTCTTACAAAACAATTTTCTTTCAATTGATAAACTCTTACAGGTTTATATTGGACAAAAACAAAACAATGAAACGTGATTTATGCATCCATGCTGGGTTCAAATGACAGTTAAAAGCGCCTTGTTTCATTTTTAATACGAGGTAATATCAGTATTGTGAGGAAAAATATTTTCTCATTATAAATTGATTAGTTTTTAAAAGGAGAAAAACAAGTACCTGCCATCGCTAGGCTGAAAAGATATAAAAGATAGAAAATATTCCTTTTATCCATTGAGAAACCTAAAGTAGATAACAAAAAGCATTATTTATAATAAACCAGGTATTTTTATTTCGTTTTTTTTTTTATTTGATAATTTTTAAAAAGATTTTTTAAACCATTGTCTTCAAAGACAAAAAATGTACTTCTATATTTTGATTGAAATTTCTTCTTTAGTTTATAGAATACGCAAAGTTTAAAATTGCATTAACTAACATGAACAATACTTATGTTTGATAGAGAAAGAAATATTTCATTCTATTTTACCTGCTATGTCTTGATATGCCAGCTTAACTAGACGAAAAACCCATTCTTTTTATATGTTTTCAGATGAATTCGAAACAAATACGTTTAATAAAGCTGTTGCAATCTTAATGTCATTTTACATAGATAAAGAGTTGATAATACGAGAATTGTATGAAATGAACATTTTTAAAAACACCAATTTCTCCAAGATCGTTGTATTCATGTTTGGATACTGAGTGCTTACCACTTGAAACAGACGCCTCCTCTATTAAAAAGCATGTCATTACAGTAAAAGGCAACATGTGTTTTGGTGAAATAACGCAAAAATGATATTTTGTTATCACTCTAATGATTTATAAGGTTTTAAAGACTGGTTTTAATATAAATTACGCTAATGGAAAATTCGAAATCCATTTATGCAATGTAAACCATCTATTTTTCTAACAAGAATGTAAGGAAGAGATTTAAGCAGATTACAAATATTAGCCCTTCGATTGATTTTTTAAATGGCTATTTTTAATTTTGAAGTGAAATGTAATCAAAAATGTTTACGGTTATGGATAGAACAGTTTGAGAAGAAAAAGAATATATCAATACATGTATAGATATATAGGATAGCTTTATACATAGCTTATATTTTTTAGTAAAGAAGGAATTAAGATCAAGTTTTTCAACAATCTCTTGGAATTCCCATGAGTACTTATTGCGACCCGTTATGAACACCACAATGTTTTCACATCAGGCTGTATCATTTTACAAAATCCTTCTCTTGCTGTGATTTTCGCTTCAGCATTGATCTTCTTATCCCATGTTTAATGCTTTGCAATCAATGCTTTACACAATTTAAATGTATATAAAGGGCTCCATTTTATTTTACTTCATTACGCTAACGCAAAACCAATGTGACTTTACAACTGTGGGATACGAAAACGATATCACATGAGCTCTATCCACAGGATAAAGGGGTAAACATGGGATAAATATACCATTAAAACCATTAAAAGTCATTTTCAGGAAATTAACAAGCTAAAAGTAATTGCATTGCTGGGTTCTCCATGGGTTGTCTACGATCATGGCGGCCCTGCTAGATTTAAATTTCTAAGCGCCATAGTTCCGCCACAGGTACAATATTAGCACCACAGTGAGATTGTCGTTGTCATTATGATAAATATAAATATTTATTAATCCAACAAACTTTTAAATCTCAAAATTACGTACCTTTTTCAAATTTCTATGCTAAACTGTTAATTTACTCTAATTAGGACCCATGGTTTGGCTTACTCGATCAATTATTTTCTAGACCAGGCTCCAAGACCGTAAATTAAGAACAGACTTAAGGGTCCGACTGGGGTTTTATTTTATGAAAACTTTGTCAGCGAAATTCTTCATTTTCATACCATATATAACTTACATAAATTCAGTGTACATGCAAAGTTTGGGGGAAATCTATCGTTCAGGTATTTTTAGGGACCGTCTTAAAATAAAAGTACATTCACTATAGGATTATATGGGAAAATTTAAGCACTTGATTGATTGATTGTATATTGTTTAACGTCCCTCTCGAGAATTTTTCACTCATATGGAGACGTCACCGTATGCCGGTGAAGGGCTTCAAATTTTGACCTTTACTCGGCACTCAGGGCCATTGAGCAGTGAGGGATCTTTATCGTGCCAACGCCTACCGCTGACACGGGGCCTCGGTTTTTAAGGTCTCATCCGAAGGACCCGCAACTTTCACTTCAAAGTGCCGAGCGCATGGCGAAGGAACAGTTGCTACCCACTTTGACGACTAGGTCAGTGACGGCCGAGATACGAACTCACGACCTCCCGATCACGGAGCGAGCGTTCTACCGACGGAGCTATCGTGAACGGTTTTAAGCACTTGAAAGCAAATTATACAAAACACTAAATTAGCCTTTTTTTCAAACTACATGTATAATATTTGATGAGTAATACTATATTGTACCTTATATGTAAGAAACACAAAATTCTACCGTCTTGTTACCAGTGGGAGCATCTCAAAATGTCAAAAATTAAAGAATTTTCCCGTTTTTAGCTCACCTGAGCTGAAAGCTCAAGTGAGCTTTTCTGATCACATTTTGTCCGGCGTCCGTCTGCCTAGATGTCTAGCTGTCCGTCTGTCTGTAAACTTTTCACATTTTAATCTTCTTTTCAAGAACTACTGGGCCAATTTCAACCAAACTTGCCACAAAGTATCCTTAGGTAAAGGAGATTTAAGTATGTTCAAATAAAGGGCCACGCCCTCTCCCAAGGGGAGATAATTATGAATTAGTGAAAAATTAATGGCATTTTTAAAAAATCTTCTTTTCAAGAACCATTTGTCAGGAAAGATGAAACTAATGTGGAATTATCCTCAGATAGTGTAGATTCAAATTTGTTCAAATCATGACCCCCAGGGGTAGGGTGGGGCCACAATGGCCGACCAAAGTTTTACATAGAAATATATAGGAAAATTCTTTAAAAATCTTCTTCTCAAGAATAACAAAGCCATGATTGATCATATTTATATGGAAGCATCCTAAGTTAGTGTAGATTCAAGTTTGTTCAAATCATGACCCCTAGTGGTAGGGCGGGGCCGCAATGGCCGACCAAAGTTTTACATAGAAATTTATATGAAAATTCTTTAAAAATCTTCTTCTCAAGAATATCAACGCCATGATTGGTCATATTTATATGGAAGCATCCTCAGGTAGTGTAGATTCAAATTTGTTCAAATCCTGACCCCTGGGGGTTGGGCGTGGCCACACTGGCTGACCAAAGTTTAACATAGAAATATATAGTAAAACTCTTTAAAAATCTTCTCAAGAATAGCAAAGCCATGATTGGTCATACATGTATTTATATGGATGCATCCTCAGGTAGTGTCGATTCAAGTATGTGCAAATCATACCCTCTCCCCTTTAAGGAATGGTTGGGACTACTTTTGGGTTAAAACTTTTCAATAATAAACTAAATTCTGCTTTTATGCTAGCCACAGTGCTCAGGTGCGATGTGGCCGATGGGCCTCTTGTTATACAGTACTACAAAACATGACGGGCACAAACGATTTGTGTGAAAAGATAAGAATAATGGGAATATTCTGATACGTCTAAGTTTTAAATTTCAAGAGTGTATATTGATTTCTTTTTCTTTTATAACATTTTTATTACCCCTCTCTTTAAGAGATTTGTTTTATCACAACGTCACATGTAACTACGTCTACCTACATAGGTTGTAGCTATGTCAACCTACGGTAACTACGTCAACCTATATATCAAGTTCAACCTATGTATCGAGTGCAAAATCGGTTTAAAAATCAGTTCTATAAAATTGTAATTACATTTTTAAAACTGTAATTTCTTAATTTTGATTCATCTTATTAATTAAGCGACAAAAATTTATTTAAAATAGTAAATACGCTTCATTTTACTATGAAGTGCGAATATTGCGCAATGAAAACAGTAGTCCCCCCCCCCCCCAAATTAAAATTTTAAATCAATATAAATTTTAAAATAATTTTGATGATGAAACAAATTTTTTACCATTTGTTTCAATCGGGATATTATATAAATCTGCAAATTTTTTATAACATATGTGTTATAAATGCCAAGATATTCAAATCCAAAATTTTGATTAAAGTCTATTCTCAGTTTATGGTGTCCAGGCCTGGACACTTGTAACTTTTTTTTCACACTTCGCACTAATTACAAAGAAATTTTAAATATCAGTTAGTTCATGCTTAAATAATTCTACAGTTAACCATGTCTCTAACATTGCACTTGCACAAAACATCATATGTGTCTTATGTGACCTACCAGAAAAACTTTTTCTTTTTTTTAATTAGGGTTTAATACTTAAAACCTGTTTTTACGGATGCTTTTTTTCAGATTCTACAAGCAAATAACTATTTATTAAGTAAATATGTATGTTTGGGGGGCGGGTTCTTTTTCACAGGACATATATAAACAAATTGTGGAAATATTTGAATTTTTGTTTTTGCACTATGTAAAATCGATAGTATTATTGAGTTTATTGATCAATCATTTTACCAAATAATTAATGCTATTTATATTTGATCTAAATATTGATTCCTAGGTGCTGTGTGTTTTTCAATATTTTGGGGCTCCTTCGCGTATTTGGTCGCGAAATGACCTGTAATGATATTACTTTTCGCGATTGAATTCTTGCGCTACAGTTAAATTTGAAATGATGGACATCCCTGCATTTAATGGTTCTCCGTTAGATAATATTTCTATGAATGTTATACATTGTAGGAGTTATAGAGGATATTCAATGATTTGTTGAATATGGAATTTATTTCACGAGTGGGACAGGATTTTTTGATGTTTTCACGAGTGCGAAGCACTCGTGAAAATATCAAAAAATCCTGTCACGAGTCGCACTCGTGAAAACATCAAAAAATCCTGTTCCACTCGTGAAATAAATTCCATATTCAACGACAAAACATTGAATTTTCTGTTTATTACATTTTCTTTGATTTTTCCCTTTTAGATACTCTGTCTTTTTCTAATGAAGTCATGGCTTCATGTACATGTCGTCATCGTTGAGTAGTTGAGACGTCATAGCTAAGTGCTGTGAGATTGAAAACGTTGTAAACAAGGATTTCAACAGCATATTGGCGAATCTTTGGCAATTTTTTATTCGATGTGAGAATGGTTTATTTATTTTCTAACGGGCCAAGGAGTATTTTTTACAACATTCTTTGTTATCAGAAGGAGAATTGAGAGTCTCAACGCACTTCTGATATTTCTC